TTCAGGAGTCAACCAAAAATCTTGGTGAGTTAAGATTAATCAAGGAGAACTTAGAGGCTATGGTTAAAACGTTGACAAGTGACATTGATAAATCAAATATTCAACTTCATTTTTTTTGGTGGATCTCGAAAACTGGACAATCTTTTAAGGTTGAACAAGCCTGCTAGGAACAAGTTAGATCTAGTATATAAGTAGACAATCATAATAGGGCTAGTACTTTGAAAATCATTTTTGTCCTGCATTAACTATTCTAAGCATGTTCCTAATCTTGAATTAAAAAATAAGGGTATCATAAGATAGAGGCCTTCTAGACAGCATAGGACTTATAAATCTAGGAATAGATATCAGCAACTATATAATTTTGGACCTAGATTTAGCCCTACTTATTTCAATTATGGTTAGTTCGGACATATAAATCCTAAGTGTCATATATTCCTGAATAGAAATATAAATAAGAATTTTATTAGAAATCAAAATCAGGATTTTGATAGTCGGATTTACTTCTTTACCAATCAAGTTAGTTAATTGATCGAGTTAATGACTCATATGATTTAGAATAAGTCTTTCACTGAACAAGACTAGGTTAAGAAGAGTAATCTTTATGATTAGAGAGATGCTCTGACTGATGATGCTAGTTATGTTACTCTTTAAGGAGAGAGTAGATTTATACCTTAGTAAATTGGTATTTTTGGTGCACGCTTGTGCTTATTCATAATACCATACATCTCGTTTTGTTGCATTGGCGCATGTACTTTTTTTGTTTTTGTTTTTTTTTTTTTTTTTTTTTTTTTTTTTTTTTTTTTTTTTTTTTTTTTTGTGTTTTGCATATTTTTATATTTTTATTTTGTGCATTTGATGAATTTATGTTTTATCAATTAAAAAAATGCGATTTTTTGATACTATAGCATGTTATATGAGTTAGCTGAACATTTGTGTTGTAACCAAGTAGGAGTTGAATTGATGTATTATAGCATAGTTTTCATTACTTGTTTAAGTTTTTATAGAGTACTTAGTATATATTTCTTCATGTACCATCTACACTGTACATATTATGAAATTGTAAGTAGGACTTGATCGCATGTGTGAGATTTGGGATGACAGTCATATGTTTTTAAGATAACTTTGAACATGAATTGACCTTAATTTAGTAGACCTAAGTTCTAGTATATCTCATTAAAGAAAAACTGCTTCATTTCATACTCTTATTCAGAGCCTATTTGATTCGAGCAATTAAGTTCGAGAGTTTCTCGTAACCTGGTGTCTATGGTCATCTGACTTAGATTAATCGACCTAAACTCATTACAGAGGTCATCTTAATCGCTTAATGAAGAAGAGATTGCACATAAGATAAAAAATTGAATAGAAAAAATGATGAGCTTCAAAATTGAAAATAAAAACATATATACTTATATGCACAGATTCAGGGAGAAAAAAGAGAGATATACATTAAAATGAGCTTCTTTTATAGGTAAAAATATGTTATTATTGGTTTGACTTTCATAAGTAGAGGGATAAAGTTATTGATAGTGATGTTTAGCATGCCATTTTTTACAAAATTAAAATTTGGAGTCCTGCTTACAAAGAATTAATAATACTTTACACACATGAGTCACTTATACAATTTACTCCATTTTAACTTGAATTGAATATGTGGGAATATTTACTGATCATTGATTATGCTATGAACTGCATCTTTAAGTTATTTTATATTGTTGTTGGTTTTTTATAATGATATTTGAATAAAATAAAAGAAGAAAGATGATTACTTATGATATAACTCCCTTCATCATTTGTGATAAGAAGGGGAGAGATGAGAGAACTTGTAGTAAGAGGGAGATGACAGTATTTCATGGCAATCCATAGTATAATGCATAACTTTTTTGAGTTTTGATTTTTTGTAATATTAATGTTTCAGCTGGTGTTTTGATTAATATTAGTATTACTTTTTAATTTAGCTAGCATATTTATGATAGTGCATTTCAATTGTTATATTTCCTGTTTCACGTGCTTTTACACTTAGTATTTGAACTATTGATTTCGGGAAATAGGTTTAACAGGGAACGCTGGAGACAAGCATTCAGTTTGAGATTGGATAGATTAGTTTTATTTTTATTTCCTTAACTTGTATTGTATAGTTTTGTCACAGAATTTTAAGGGGGAGTTTGTCAGGCTTTAGTTTGTATTGGCTATTCTTTAGACAAAACGATTAATATAAAAGAGTTGAAATAGTTAACAAGTCTTTTGGGATGTTATATAGATGACCTAGGAGTCTTTGAGCTCGAGTATTGAACATGGAGATAGAGTTGTCGAAATTATGCTAGCAGTTGCTAAGCTGATGCTAAAGCGTCCAAAACAGAATCATTTTTGTCCGCTTGATGTTAGATTGTTGCTCGAGTGACACACTAGTAGCTTACTTAGCACTAGCCCGGTGCTGGAGTGATGGTATTTTTCGAGAAACCCTAGTTCGTGATTTTCAAAAATTCTATCTATTCTATACTACCTCAATACCTCTCTATTATAAATACACAAGACCCACTTCGTGAAAAGTGTGATTGATCATTACTTTCTACCTTCATAACATTCTTTGGAAAATAAATAACAATTCTACATCTTGAAATCGATCAACCATAAGTTGAGAAAAACATCAAAAACATATAATCCAAAACTCCCACTTCCCATATATAATCAGGAATGTACTTTCTTAATAGTTTCAGAGGTTGTGGAAGATTGAGGGATGTTGATGTAGATTGAATCTACAAACACACGACAACAATAACCAAATGGATTGAATTCAGAAACAAACTTTTATTATTTCGTGAACAACCAAGAAAACCCTAGGAGGCGTCTTGCAGCGTCTTAAATATGAAAGAAAAGATAACCTACTGGGCCAGCAGTCCCAAAATGGGCTGGGCTACAAAATGGAAATAACAAATGTTGAAAATAAATAACACAAAAACTTAAAATGCTGTTTTGACACACTAAACGACTTCAAATGCGAAACGCTCGCTACCTTTCCGAAATGGGGTTATGGGCCCAAAACGGACACCAAACGCAAAAGTTACATCAATCTCTTTGAAAGCGGACCATCCAACTGTTCCATGTATGCCAATGTCTGTTTCTCCACATAAACCTCATCATTCTCCCCAGGATCAATGGGATTCACCCTCGAATCAGAACCGGTAGCACTATCTCTCATGTTGTCTCCATAGTATGGCAAAAGATGCTTTACATTAAACACATCAGAAGTCCGTATATGGGAAGGAAGTCAAAGGCGATAGGCGTTGGGGTTGATCTTCTCCACAATTTCCACTGGACCAATGGTACGAGGTGATAGCTTCGAATGCTCATGAGATGGCACTCGATTCTTAGTCAGTACCGCCCAAACATAATCCCCAACGTCAAACTCAACAGGACGTCGATGCCGATCAGCCGCCTCTTTATACTTACGGTTGGACTCTAGCAGATTAGCTCGTGTTTCCTCGTGAACTTGTTGTAAACTACGAACAAAGTCAACAGCTGTCCCATGCAGCCGAGTCTTAGAGGGCAGAGTCAATAAATCAACAGGGCTGCGAGGCAGAATACTATACACAACCTGGAACGGATTGAAACCGGTGTTTCTATTTCTAGCATGATTATACGCAAACTCTGCCTGGCTAAGCTGCTGATCCCATGAGCGTAGATTATCCCCAACCAAGCACCGCAACAAGTCACCCAAAGAACGATTAACTACCTCTGTTTGCCCATCAGTTTAAGGGTGATAAGCACTACTAAAATTGAGCGACGTGTTAACTGACTTCCATAAACTCCGCCAAAATTGACCGATGAACCTCGTGTCTCTGTCAGACACGATGGAAGTGGGCAACCCATGCAACCGATAAATCTCTCTGAAAAATAGCTGAGAAACCTTGACAGCATTAGTGGTGCGCTTGCAGGGAATGAAGTGCACCATTTTAGAAAAAACGATCTACCACCACAAAGATGGAATCATTACCACGTTGTGTGCGCGGTAAACCCAGGACAAAATCCATTCTAATATCAATCCACGGAGCTGAAGGCACTGGTAAGGGTCGATAAAGATCAGCGTTTGTGGCTTTCCCCTTTGCCACGTGGCACACCCTGCATCGTGAGACAAACTTCTCCACCTCACGACGCATAGTACGCCAGAAAAATGAAGTGCTAATCAAAGCCAAAGTACGATCTCGTCCAACATGACCTTCACCATGAAACTCCTCAATCAATTTTAGATGAAGGCTGCAATCTGGTATACACAACTGAACACCTCTAAACACATACCCATCCTCTAATAGAAAAGAGGAATGGGGTCCCTGCAGTAAACTGTGATAGATGGGGCCAAAATAAGGGTCATCAGCATAAAGAGAGACAAAGGTCTCAAACCCGGTGACCGCTACCTGTAGCCGCGCTAATAACCCATGCCGCCGATCGAGCGCATCTGCCACAGGGTTAGAAGAACCAGCCTGATGTTTAATGACAAAGTTGAACTGCTGCAAAAAGGCAACCCATGATGCATGACGGGCAGATACAGACTCCTGGCTTGACAAATGCTTGAGGGCTTCATGATCACTGTATAAGACAAATTCTCGCTGAAACAGATAATGTCGCCAATGGCGAATGGCCTGAACAACAACATAAAGCTCTGCGTCGTAAGTGCTATACCTCCTATGAGCCGCTGCCAACTTCTGACTGAAATAAGCTACTGGTTTTCCTTCCTGACTGAGGACAGCTCCGATACCCAATTTAGAGGCATCACAATGTAATGTAAAAGGTTTTGTGAAATCAGGCAATGCAAGTATCGGGGCTGAAGTCAGACGCTCCTTAATGATCAAAAACGCTTTCTCTGACTCGGGCGTCCACTGAAACTTACTCTCCTTCATGCAATTAGTAATGGGAGACATGATGGTGCTGAAGTGCTAAATAAATCGTCGATAAAACGACGCTAAACCGTGGAAACTCCACACATTAGAAACTGACTGTGGACGCGGTCACTGTCGAATCGTATCAACCTTAGCTGCATCCACCGTTACCCTACCGGCTAACACAACATACCCCAAAAACAAAACACTATCGGTATAGAACACGCACTTCTTAGTGGCTGCAAAGAACTTCTCCTTACGTAAAACAGTAAGGACTTCCCTTAGATGCACACCATGAGACTCCTCCGACCCACTGTACACCAATATGTCATCAAAGTATACAACAACGTACTTACCAATAAACGGTCGAAGTGCTTGGTTCATCACCCGCATGAACGTGCTCAGTGCATTGGATAGTCCAAATGGTATAACTAGCCACTCAAATAATCCCTCCCGTGTCTTAAATGCTGTCTTCCACTCATTACCAGGATGGACTCTTATCTGATGGTAACCACTTTTCAAGTCCAGTTTGGTAAACACAGTTGCGCCGGCCAACTGATCAAGCAAGTCATCTAGCATCGGTATCGAAAAGCGATAACGAACTGTTATTTTGTTGATGGCCCTGCTATCTATACACATCCGATAACTCTCATCTTTTTTTGGCACTAGGAGTGCGGGGACTGCACACGGGCTGAGGCTCTCTCTGATGTACCCCTTCTGCACCAACTCCTCTACTTGTCTGTTCAACTCCTCATGTTCCACTGGGGTCATTCGATAATGTGGGCGATTAGGCAATGATGCGCCTGGTACCAAATCAATGTGATGTTGCATATCCCGCAAAGGCAGAAGACCCTGTGGAAGGTCATCCGGAAACATATCATGAAACTCAGACACCAAGGCGGCAGCTTTGGGGTGAAGACCCGTCCCCTTGGCTGCCATAGGAACTGTCGACACTCCTGTCGCCTCAGTTCCCACTAACAACAGTACAACACCTTCTGCCAGCATCTCACGCACAAACAAAGATCGGGAAAGTAAATTAGTACTGTCCCTGTCGAAGACAGACACTGCGTATCTTTGGAGGGTAGTAGTACAATCTTTTTACCCGAAAAGGTGAATGTATATGCATTTCTACGCCCTTCATGGCACACATACCTATCAAACTGCCATGGACGACCCAACAACAAATGACATGCATCCATTGGCACCACATCACACTAAACACTATCACGATGCACACTGCCAATAGAAAAAGATACCAACACACAACTAGTAACACGAATTTCATTACTCGTCTCAACCATGCTAAGCTATAGGGAGCAGGATGAGGTTCGATGCTTAACTGCAACTTCTGTACGGCCGCTTCAGATATCACATTTTCGCAACTGCCCGAATCAATGATGAACCTACACACCTTTCCTCCAATGGTACACGTAGACAGGAAGATATTATTTCGCTGCAAGTCCTCAGACGACCCCTTAGGCGTAAGGCACGCCCGTCGGACCACCAAAAGAGGCCCCGTATCACCTGTATACACAATTTCAGCCTCTTCTTCTTCATTCTCCATATGAACAGGATCGTTAACATCGGCTTGTGTTGTCCCTCCAATGAACAAATCTGGGCGTGGCTGCCCATGAGATGGACAGTCCTTCCTCAAATGACCAAAACCACCACAACCAAAACACTGACTTCCACGCCCTCGTCCACCAGGAGGAGCCCAGCCACCCGGATTAGCGGTTGGAGGAACCACTGGCTGAGTGTTCCGATCAACGCCCCGACTCCCAGATGTAAAGGATTGGGACGGACCAGATGTGGGATTTGGGGCGAATTGTCGACCCCTACCTCCAGATGGACCACCAGAAATGCGTACTACAGAACGACGTTGTTGTTGATTTTCAGCCTAAAGTGCTAGCTGGTGAGCCTCAGAAACAAATACCGGTGAGAACATATTTAGGACGTCTTGCAAATTCAATCGTAGTCTACCAATATAGCGCGCTACCAACTGGTCTTCTGATTCTCCCACATCATTTCGCGCTATCAGTTGGTAAAACTCTGGAATAAGCATCTACAGATCGATTGCCTTGTCTCAAATTCTGTAAGCACTGATACAAAGTCCTGGAATAATTAAAGGGAAGAAACGCTGCCTTCAACTATTTCTTCATTTTTTCCCACGATTGGATTTTCGCCTTACCCTGACGGATCCGGTTTTGCTTTAGTTGCTGCTACCACGCAGCAGCACGACCACGCAGACGGGTCGCCACCAAAGGTACTATTTTATTGTCGGGCACTTCTTTGTAATCCAAGATCTCCTCTACTGCCGCCAGCCAATCGAGGAATTCATCTGCCTCAATTTCACCGTGAAATTCAGGTATATCAACCTTGAATCCGGATTCCCATCGCTGAAATGCATCCTGCTATTGAACACGAGGCTGTTGAATACGATCGCCACGTGCCTCTGACGAGGTCTCCTCATCCGACCTCTCCCCTGATTCAGATCCACCTCCACCATCACTCACTGGGGCACGACGTGGAGGAGCAGGAGGTGTTCTGTTCTGCACAACCTCTGCCGCCCACGTCATGAATTGATCAAATCGGATTGTCAACGCCTCAACTTGATTACGCAGATCTGCAACTTCATCAATCTGGCCACCACGACCACCACGTCCTCTCTCACGCACCATGCTCTGATACCAAAATGATGTAGATTGAATCTACAAACACACGACAACAATAACCAAATGGATTGAATTCAGAAACAAACTTTTATTATTTCGTGAACAACCAAGAAAACCCTAGGAGGCGTCTTGCAGCGTCTTAAATATGAAAGAAAAGATAACCTACTGGGCCAGCAGTCCCAAAATGGGCTGGGCTACAAAATGGAAATAACAAATGCTGAAAATAAATAACACAAAAACTTAAAATGCTGTTTTGACACACTAAACGACTTCAAATGCGAAACGCTCGCTACCTTTCCGAAATGGGGTTATGGGCCCAAAACGGACACCAAACGCAAAAGTTACATCAATTTCTTTGAAAGCGGACCATCCAACTGTTCCATGTATGCCAATGCCTGTTCCTCCACATAAACCTCATCAGATGTTGTACCAAAAGCACAGGAACAGTACATGAACAAAGTGTTTTTGGTGATTCAAAGAAGATAGACAATTTCAAAAGAACGGGAACATGTGTGAGTGAAACACGTTCCAGCGGATCTTGAAGATTGTAGGAATTAGATCAGTAAGTCTAGTGATTTTTTTAGACTGGATCATACTGTAAGTTTTTATTGTCTATAGTGGAAGTCATTGGCTTAGTCTCAAAGTTTATATTCCTGTGAAGGTTCTTCTCTGTCAACAAATCTTGTGTGATTTACTGTTTTATTTATTATTGTGGTAATTCAATATAGAATAAAATTGGCTTGATTGGCTAAATATCTAGAACAATTAAAAAATGACTTATTGCTTTTAGTTGTGTAATTTCGAATGTTGGGTCTAAATATTCGATAAATTTGAACTTACAGCTCCAATTTCTTGGACGTATAGTGTGTGAATGTGTGAATTGCATGTGAACTAAATTCTTAGCATATATAATCACATGAGCTAATAATTTAAAGGTAATATTGAAATAGTTTAAAATAAATATTAGATAGAATCGTCATCAAAATAATTCTCAACTCGCATGACACGAGATATATTATAAACTATAGACATAGATAAATATTTCTTTTTAGTTTTCACCATAAGCCTAAGACACGTACTAATTAAATGCAAAATGAAAATAGGATAAATAGCAAACAACCATTGTAGATTAATATATATGTTATAACCAATAAACATTTTTAATTTAAGGGTATATATTATTGAAATAGTGTCGATATATGTTGGATAAAACAGTTCAAAAGATAATTCTAAACTCATGTGACATTTAACATAATTTTTTACTTATTCGAGCTTTAGAGGGCCTATGTTAGAAACCCTTGTGGAGTGCCATCTAAAACTTGATTGTGAGCGCGAGGATAAATTCATGGAACGGACCATGACAAAGATAAGAAGAAGATCTCAATGCCTTTGAATACATGCACAATGATATTGATGATAAATTATACTAGCCAAACAAATACTGATCAAACTGAATGACAATAGCGATTATGAGAGTGGTCATGAGTCTTCAAAATACTACACTAAACACATGATGATCGAGAGCACGATGAAATCACACAAAAAAATGTTGAAGTTTCACTTTCTACTCTTAGTATTATCATTGTTTTGAAGTCAAATTAAGTCATCTATGCCCCCTCCTAAAATTTACCTATTCCTTTTATTTGAGTACAAAATAAAAACTCCACTTTGACCTCGGTTTGATTATAAAAAAGAAAAAATTATATAATTTTCATCATCTATAAAATTATCGTGCAACAATATACAATGAAAAGAAGGAAATCAACTTATTAAAACTACTAGAACAATAAATTGAGAACTAATATTAGCACAATCTCTACATAAGAAAACTTTTTCATTTTGCAATTTACCAATTTACATTGCTCCATAAAGGAGGTATAATTAATGGATCATTTGTAAGATCGAACAAAAAATGGAAAGAATAATCCAAAATCGAGTAACAAGCACGAGACATGCCCCGGAATAACCCAGAACGATAATTTTTTTTTTTTCATATATAAATATGTCATCCAAGATACCATGCACCTTTCTCTTCTCTTCAAGGACACCTAGAATTTCTTCCAGGCCCTCCATAATAAAAGTAATTCCCCCAAACTCCATTAACTCCCCCTTGTATATCATAGCAATTTGGATGATCAGCCAAAACTTTAAGATTTGACAATGGGACTAAACTGTTATCCCAATCTACTATTTGTAAATTCCGGAAATACGAGGATTTTCCGAACCCTTCTCCAGCAAAATGTCCACTGCCCATTTGTGTTGATGTGTGGAAACCAGAGGGACTGCTGTTGACAATTTCACCACCAAATTGGACCATACTTGCATGATCTCTAAGGTGTGTAAATAAAAAAGATGGCCAATAGCCCACTAAAACTCCAGACCCAAATTCCAGCCACCAATTTCCATGCTTTGGATCCTGAAAAATAATATATACAACTATTTATAAGCAGTTATAAATTTAGACTATACTGGTCGATTTGACTAGCAGCATCGGTATCAATCTTGTTATATACTAAAAAAAGTATGCATGAATTAAAATTGATCGATTAGAATCGGGTGAATTTAGCAGTGTAAAAAGTAAGGTTGAAAAAAAAAAAAAAACACTATTGTTCAGCTAACAAGTTGTAACTCAAATTGGGTCAACATTCATAAATTTGAAGTAAAAAAGAAATGTTTTTATGCATTCATCACATGACGATCTAATGAAGTTTTGGAAGGTTTACAATTATAAAGGACATTAAGGACTAACTTGTTACTTGAACAATAGATTGAAAATCATTAGTGCAATTTTCACTGAAGAATTTAACAGTGTGATCATAATAAAAAAGTGGATGATGGGCCACAAATTTCTTTGCTTGGAAGAAGAGAAAGAGAATCTTGAGGAGTAGAAAAGCAGAAGCAAAATAAATACATTTAATCATTATGCCGAAGAGTGTGCCCCCAACATGCAGTGTATGTATAATTAAGGTAGGTGGTCAAAATGCACCATGAAAGTTTCTTACGGCTTTATTTCTAATAATTATATGAAGAAACTTCTTAAATACTATAAGACTTTAGAATGATTATTTTGAATTAACACTTAAAAAAGTATAGTTACATCAATTCACATATAGTCGATCTTTAATTTATTGAGTACACAAAATATTTAAAGGGAAAATTGTAATATGCAACCAAACTCGGGAAAAAAGTTTAGAAAAGATACGAAGAGCTAGAAAATTATAATATTACTTTTAATGAGAAAAAGAAAAAGAAAAGAGGAATATCGAGGGCTTAAATCAATAGATTAAAACCTACCATTCAAGCTAGAGTAACTTTAGGGTAGAGCGCCGGGGGGGGGGGGGTCGTAAAAACGACTATATATACTGAAAAATGTTTCATCACCGACCTAAAGTTTTATGATGAATAGAGAAAATGGCCAAAAATCGAGTTTCTAACAATATTATGACCACTAGAATTATATGAAGAAAATTAATTTAGTTTATAAAAACGTTTTTATTATTTTCGATCTACTTTGTTTGCAGTGTTAACATATTGAGAAAATAACGATGACTATAAAGCAAATGTTGTTAATAATTTTATGTATAGTAAATTAATTAATTTACCTTCCATACTAATAAGCTAATATCAAACTGACCACCGTTGTACGAGGATGTTGGAGAAATTGCTGCCCCAATAGCTATTTTATTGTTTGTCTGAACAAAGCCTGAGCACAGCAAATTGTAACACCCTGTGGCTTGATATGCATCACTCTGCAAAATTAATTATTATTATAATTATTTATTGTGATGATTAATAATTATTTTGCAAGCATGGATAAAGAAATGAATAGAAAAATTAATTAGTAGGGACAACAAACATAATTATAAAACTTACAGTCCAATAAGTGAAGAACCTAGGATAGTTGTCCCCATACAGCTCTGGACTAACCTGTACAAATTTTTTTTAATGGTATCTTTGTTATGCAGTATTATACAAAATATCGTACAAGTTTATCAGAAGTCATTCAACTTATAGATTTGTTTTAATTTAACCATTCTATATGTAACCATAACCTAAATTAATCTGATTTTTAGCTACACCAAACAGGGACTACGTATTACGAACAGAATGCTAAAAGTGAACTAAATACATAAGTTCAATGATCGAAATGTAACAAATTAAGTCTACGGTCGGTTTAGATAAAAATTAAATTTTTAGTAGATTTTGATAAAAATTAATGAAATATGAAATTGAAAAGTTGTGCCGCAATGAAATCTCTGCTTAAAATGAATTCTTGATTTTGACTTTGGTTTAGATTATAATTCACTTTTGTAGCTGAACCAAACATGGGCTAAGTTAGTACGGCCAATGAAATTTTCCGAACAAAATTTTAACTTATTTTTTTGTGATTCAATCTAATGTACTAAACATGACATCAATAAATAAACTTATTTGACCAAATCAAGATTTATATAGTGCAAAAGCTTATGAACATGCCTGCCAACCCGCTTCAATGGTGTTGAGATCATCGCCAAATGAACCGGCAATTACCCACAGTTGTGATAAGCTGAATTCATATTGATTTGCTACTTGAGGTGCCCACACATTTATACTTGCTTTTGCTCCATAATATACATCTCCAGTTACATAACCTACAGCATGCTGCAATTCAAAAATGTAGGCGAATAGTAAATAAACCATCTCGTCTTGAAGTTAAATTGTTAATATTTATATATCTGTTCGGTATTGAGATTGGACATGACTAAACTGGTACTAACACTGGCGGATTTAGGGAGCCCACTTGTAATCTTTTTTAAACCTATTAGCCCGTGTTAAATTTAAATTTATTTATTTTTTTAATCGATCTTGGATCAGTCCCTAGGTACTAACCTCGTGACCATTGCTCGAAGAGTCCCTTCGAAATTGTTTTGGGATTTTTTTTCCAAATGTTGATAATGACCTAGCCCTGATAATGTCTTGTTCAGATGTCCTTCTAATTGGAACTGTTCCTTCTGGACATGATTCATCAGACAGACTCCATAACTGAAAGTTTTCTGCTAAAAATATCCCGGTTCTCGATCTGTGCCCCTGTGGCCTTTCTGGTGGATCCTACAAAAACATAAAAATTTACAAAATGCTTTAAACGTGCACATTTTGCACACTAGATCTTGATGAGTCCAATCCAGTCGACTCCAGTCGAATAATTTGTTTACCATTGGTTTTTGTCCTTTTAAGTGAGGATGATCAAAAGCTGGTTGTTGATGAGCAAATATACAATCTATTAGATCACCATCAGGACTCTGCACCAGAAAAAACAAGATTAAAATAAGAGTAGAAAGTCAGATTCTTTGGATAAACAAGAAATTAAAGAAAATAAAGTTAGAATCTTCTTTAATGTAGTATTGCGTACCCGAATTGTCTTAACAGCAGGCTTGTTGATTTTCATGAGATGGGCTCTGATAATCTTCAACTTCTGTAACTCTTTGTCGGGGTGGAAACTCTGATTAGCTTCATTGAAGTTCACTGATTCCAGTGAATTTACAGGACAAACACAGAAGAGAAACAACAGTAACAAAACAAAAACTGAAATGATTAGACAAATCTCGCAACTGCTAGAACCCATTTTTAAGGAATATATATGTCTTGTCTCTTCTAACAGAACTGTTTTTATTTGCATACATTTGTCTTGTCTTCTTCTGTCATCAAGACCATACCAACCCTTGGTTGGGAAATAAGAAATGGCTCGATTATCGTATTCGGAGTGTGATAGTTCCAAAAGACAAACCCGATATGGAAAATCCTCCCACCTCACTCTCTCACCATTTCCAAGGCTTCAAAACTGCAAGAAGAAAATCAAAATCCAACTTGTACCTTCCTTCTCCCTAGGCTTCTATTCTATGCTCTAGTTTTGTCTTCTTAGTTCTGACAATGTTCTAGGCATTAAAAACACTGGAAATAATTTGTGGGAATTTGAACAATTAGAGTTTTGCCCATGTGGGTTGGAGTTATAAATATAGGGTTGTCACCAAGACATGTAATAATGAATCTTATTTTCTTAAAAGAAAAGAAATTTAGTGAAAAGAGAATGAATTGGAGGGGGGGGGGGGGGGGGGGGGGGGGAAGTTTTTA